CAACTTAATCTAAATTCATGGGCAGGTTCAATGTAGAATTGGGTACAGTAGTGACTGTCTTGCAACTGAGTGTTCTTGCATTTTGACTGATAGCCTACTAATCCTGAAGAAATAGATGAAACTCATCAGAACAGTACTTCCAGACCCTATTGGCTAAGGGAGCCAGAACTTGACTGTCATGCATGTTAAGAAGCCACCTGTTTTCAAAATGCTTATTTTATGGTATTTTGTCAGGGGTGTCAATCTAAAATTAAAGGGCTGAGGGCAAAGTATGCATTTATAGTTGGTGTCATGAATCAATATCCATATGTAGAATTTGAGTAAAATTTTTCAAAAGCATCTTAAGTCCCATTTTCAGCAGTGACTTGGATGCTTGGGGAGCATAAGCCTCTGACTTTCAAACTTCGCTGCTTTTTAGTTGGTGTGGGGGTTTTTTTAGAAATAACTAAACTAGGCGTTTAGTCTGGAAGTTAGAGACCTCGTTGACTCATTCTTCATATTTTGGGGGCATGCCATTTTATTTCTATACTCTTACATGTGTTCCTTGGTTCTTTTCTGCAAAGGCCTTCTCTATGCTAGAAAAGGGTTGCTGGTATAACTATAGTTTCTTTCTAGTCTTGGCCTAAGTAAACTCATACTGTACACCTGAGTTATACTGGCATAGGAATGCTTTTGTTGATGTAGCTTATTTCAGTTGGGTAACCTGGTATAAGCTCTACTAGTAAAAACGTCTTTGCCAGAATAAGCTACGTCTGCCCTAGGATTGTTTGCAGGTATAGCTGTACCGGTAAACCTTTTCCAGTGTACACAAGGCCTTATCAGAAAAATGCTTGCCTTGTGGCTTATATTGGGTCCCTGAGTGAAATAAGTTATACTGACAGAAACTCATCTGTGCTGGTAAAACTGCATTTATGGATGTATTAAGTGTAGACCAGGCTTAAGCTTTAAACATGGCAACTTCAATGGCAATTACTGTTCTTGGCTGCCCCTTTTCACCTTCAGACCTGATAAGTTACAGTTTAAGGAGACGATGCAGTTTTGAACAATCAGATCAGCAGTTGATCTTTCTCTTCCTTACGTTTTAGTCTGGATTTTAAAGTTCCTTCTTATTTCAGGAGAAAGTTGCCAAAGTTTTAGCTTTGAAAAATGATTCAATCAACCACTTCGAGTCAATGATTGAACAGGAAAAGAAGGAGCAATGGAGGGTTGAAGGCCGCAATTATCTCTTTGATGCCAAGCGGGTACGTTATTACAACTATAACTTTACAAATACCTTTTTACATAGTTACGTAGCCCTCATAACCACAGACCCTGAGTGTCTCTATGTACTTAACAAGCAGCAAACGTTGACTATGTGTACATTAGGTGTGGCAGGTCACATAGACAACTAAGTTGTATGACATTTCCCATTATAAGACCCTATTTTCAGTTGCATGTAACTTTACCAGAATTATTCAGGCTTTCATTTTTCCATCTTGGGTATCTGCCCCAGGCTTTTTTCTTTTTTTAATCTTTCTTGAAAATGGTTCATTTCTGGAAAATGAAGCTAGGGAAAAATACATTGTTAAAACATTCTGGCGACCTTTCATTTGAGAAGTTCTAGAACCTGCAAGTTATGGAGCAGAGACTTGAAATTTGGCAGTGGGAGGCCTCTGTGTTTATGGATGTTCCTTTTGCAGTCCATGTGAACAGTCTCAAATTTGGCCAAATTGTAATCCTTTGAAAGATCACAGTTCACACATGATCAATAGAGATTCCTTCGAGTTTAGCTGCTAAATTTCTCGAAGACTTCATCCATGCTTCAGGATAGGGCTAAGCAGGACTTGCCTGGCAATTGCAGCTTTGGGCTGCTGTGGAAGTGTTTGGTCTGAGCACCTGAACTGAGAGCAGGGAAACTATCTTGTGCTGTCCTGGGCCCAGGCAGCATGGAGGAGGAAGCTGCCTAATTTGAATGAAGAAGGGACAAGAGCCAGACCTGCATGGGTGTAGATTGGGATTGTGGAAGAAAATAAGTCCTTACTCTGTGTTTGTTAGCAACAAGTCAGAGACCGTTTATTACGAGCAATTGCAAGGGAAGACTTCAGTTGGACAGGGGGTCCCCCCTGACCTTAGGCAGATCTTCCCCCTACAAGCAATATAAGACAAGTATTTATACCTTCCTGTTACATACATCAACGGCTAATGGTTATCCTTTGTTTATACAAACTCCCTCCAGACTTTACCTTATCTTAAGGTTTCTGCTTCAATCAGCATTCCATCCTTATTAACTAAAAGCGAGACGAGAAACAACATTTCTTACAACTCTCGCGTGGTTAGGGTTAGGGCTACCTTTCACTTTATCCTTAAATTGACTAAAACATTTACCCTGCTTTTAATTCTGCTTCCACAGGATGGAGTGTTGGTTGGGTAAGAGGGGGAGTGGTGACAGATCAGGTGAGGTGCTTGAGCACAGGGGGGCGACTAGGACAAGAAGCTGGGGGGAATGGGATACTGAAATGGGATGAGGAACATACGGAAGGAGAGAGGGATGAGGGGCTGAGGGCCAGGGAATGAACTGGAACTGTCTGGACAAGGAGAATGGGCTAAGAAGGCTGAAGAGTGGGGAATGGGACGAAGATTCTGGGGGGTAAAGAAGAGAGACGAGTGGGACAGGGATGGGTTAGGAGGTGTCGCAGAGGGGCAGGGAACGGTCTGTCATCTCCTTTCCAAATATTTGTGAAACCCACTGGCAAAGTGCTTCATCCTCCTCTAGTCCTGGTCCACCTAAAGAGTGCCACCTACTGCTGTAGCTGCCACTCCCGAAGCTCCAGTGGCAGAGGTCTGTATTGTGGATCTAAAGGTTCCAACCCCGCTGATAACCCATGTGGGTGTTGATGTGACATTTTTTCCAGTTTTTTAAAGCTAGAAAATTACACGGTCTATTTTAAAAGAACATTATAGTGAGAGCTCCTGTGTAGAGCTGGATTATACTAGATTTTTGCCATTTATTTTGAGTATAAAGACATTCTCAGTTGAAAAGCCTAAAAATGCTGCCCATTTTTAAAAATACCATATCCACTTAACTAATACTACTGATATTTAAATAGTGTGACTCTCGCTTTTGACAGGCTCTATAGTCTTGGCATATAATATAGAGTTGGGATTCTAGGGTTCAGTTCCTGTCTCTGAGACCTTGGCAAGTCATTTAACTTCTCTGTGCCTCCATCTGTGAATGAACACACAGCCAATTTTTGTAAAATACTCTAGGTTCCTTTGAAAAGCAACATGTGAGTGTAGTGGTCGAGGGACATCTACCTAGAACACATCACTGGACATTGGCAATGCCAGGGAGGGATAAGCTGGAGTGCCAATGAGAAGCGTGGTCGGGAAAGTAACTTAAATACTTTCCGGATGGATTGTATTTTCTAATGGACAACCTACCCTAAATTCTCAACTACTGAGGGATAATTTTCACTTGTTGATATATTTGCTTTCCACAACCAACTCTGTGTATAACTTTTCAGGATTGATGTATCTGAATACTAGGATGCTAATATCTAAACTGTATTATTAAATGTATTCATCTAAATTTGGATTATTGCTGATGTATCTTACGACTTTTAAAACACACTTTGTATCGGTGGATAATCTAAACACTATACCCAGATGTACAGACACACTTTTCTTAACCTGTGTATTATATAATTTTTTTAACATTAGCTTTAATAAAAATTTTAAATCTGAAATAAGATGGTCAGAAAAGTCAGAATGGAAAACTGAAGTGCATCTTTTCTCTAACTAGAATAACATTGCTATGCTGCTAGAGACTAACTACCGAGAAAGGCTGCTCACCGTATACAATGAAGTGAAGAAGCGGCTAGACTATCAAATTGCTGTACAGCAACTGGCACGTCGTAAGGAACAAGATCACATGATCAACTGGATAGAGAAAAACGTCGTCCAGAGCATCACTCCTCAACAGGTACTTTAAGCTTCTGAGCTTCTAGCAGTTCACTGTGCCTCCCGTGTCCTAATACAGAATACCGTTTTCCTCAGCTGCCTGACATCTTTGGCCAAACATGACTGGTACTTCTTTGTCTAACTCTTCTCTGGCTGGCTTCCAGAGCACCCAAGGCACATTCCTACTTTTTTGAGCAAAACCAATGGGATCTGATTTTCTCTCTTTCTCTCCCCCCCCCCCCCCCCCCCCTCCAAAATGCTGAGCACTTGCAGCATTTCCTGATTTTGTTTGGGTTGTGGTTGCTGATTGCTTCTGAAAATCAGGCCCAGTAACTCCAATTGAGAGAATACTTTCCTGCACAATGGTAGGCTTGTGGATGGGAGGTGTGCCCAGGAGGCTGGGGTACTTCCTTGCAGCATCCCTTGATGTAAAGCATGGATGTTTAAATGTGGATTTTTAAGATGACTGATGGGACTAGAACACCTGCACATTTCCCTTCCTTGGTACCTCACAGGGCTAAAGTCACTTCAGTGGACTGTCTCCACACTGGGAGGTGAAGAAAATGGGTAGACCTAGATATGGAGTTGAAGTGCACTAGATGGGGAGTTCATTTACATAACGCTGTCATCTCTCCTCGGTCAGTTCTGCCTGCACTTTGGAGGATCCACTCACTCTTCCCAAAGCTTATTGTTCCTCTAGATAGGTTGGCCTGACATTTGCCAACATCCTGCAGTCTCCTGTGAATTGTGCAGGCTGACTGTTTTGTAGGATCAGATTTTAATCATCTAGATTGATTGTCATTTGCTAATGCTTGAACATAGGCCAATATTTGGATTTCCATCTCCATGACTTTCTTAGATGGTTGTGCAAATTATTAATCATGCATGAGTTGGAACTAGATCCTTTCTGTACCTGGCTTCAATTTTTACCCAGCAAAATCTGAATATGGCTGGTGTGCACACATTGTGCATGCAAATGATTCTCTTCACTGAGTTGTTTCAAGGCCTGTGAAAGTCTATCCATTTCCTTTTGCAGGAGAAGGAGAGTATTGCCAAGTGCATCTCCGATTTGAAGATGTTGTCGAAGAGCACGCGGGTGGCAGTATAATTGCACAACATTGAATTCCAGTCAGCTCTGCGTTGCTTCTGTGATCTGCTGTTGGAAACTGTACAACTGTAACTCTAAATTAAAATAAGTTCTGTATTCTCACTGTCTGATTAGTAGCACTGAACTAGCAGCAGTCCCAGAGTATGGTTATAGCAGTTAATTCTGACATGTGAACAGGGACCTATGTACTTGTTCCAGTTTTTTGTGCAGAAATTGGGGTTCTGCAGATGAATAAAAACATAATTCTTCCTTTGTTAAAGCCAAACAGTTCATGTTTCTTTG